ATATTATATAACAAAACACAATAAATAAATAACATATATATGTATGTTATTAAAACATAAAAAAAAAAAACACAACAAAAACATAAAACTAGTCAGATATTTGACCTTGTTTTCATGAAACTAATGCATCAGTGTCTGGTTCAATGGAAATGGTTGCAATTCTCAGTGAGCTCTCAAGACGTTTGTTAGATATTTTTGATGAAATATTACTCTTCCTGTGATTCATCCTTGAAAACAGTTGTTCATAAATGTATACATTGCCAAGAAGTTATGATGTGAATACGGTGTGATTGTGAACCACAAGATATTTTTCTCTGTTAAGGCAGGTCTTATAAAAATTTAGTATCGTAGAATTGTACAATTAAGAATGGCCTGGGTTGAAAAGGACCACAATGATCATCTAGTTTCAACCCCCCTGCTATGTGCAGGGTCACTAACCACCAGACCAGGCTGCCCAGAGCCACATCCAGTCTGGCCTTGAATGCCTCCAGAGATGGGGCATCCACAACCTCCTTGGGCAACATGTCCCACTGAGTCACCATCCTCTGTGTGAAGAACTTCCTCCTAATATCTGATCTAACACTCCCCTGTCTCAGTTTAAAACCATTCCCCTTGTCCTATTACCATTCACCCTTGTAAACAGCTGTTCCCCCTCCTGTTTATATGCTACCTTCAAGAACTGGAAGGCCACAATGAGGTTTCCCCAGAGCCTTCTCTTCTCCAAGCTAAACAAGCCCAGTTGCCTCAACCTTTCCTCATAGGAGAGGTGCTCCAGCCCTCTGATCATAGTAAAGAGACATGGACAAGTTTTCCATTAAGTTGAATGCCTGACTGCAACTACATGCATTCCTTTTGAAAATGTGCAATGTGCAGCAATGTATTTACATCTACTAAAAATGGATTTGCAAATTTTCTTGTATATTTATCTTTTTGGAGATCTTGAAACCTATGCTAAAATCACTTTATCAAAATTGAAAGCAAGGCTGCATATTTTTCACTGTTCATGAGTCTATGTTTAGCCAACACATCAAAATGCACATAATTATTTGCCATAATCTGAGCTTGCCATAATTTAAGTTTCATTTTGAACACTGTAACCATTTGATAAGTTGATTCTCAAATTGAAAATACACTTTGAATTTGATTAAACAAGTGGTCAAATACACCAAAAATGCTAACTCTATGAGCCCTTCTTCATCCTTAAGTTCGGCACAAGTTTTCCTTTTGATTCCATTAATGACTACATTCCATTTTGCAAATCATAAAATCTTTTAGCATTTCACCCCAGCCACCTTCCTTCAGAATGGTAAATGATGCCCCGACAATCAGTATCCATACTTTTTAAAAACTCCTGAACTGGCCATGCTTCACTCCACCGGACTTTATGAAATTCACAGCTTTGCTGATGACGTGTATGGCTTTATCCATTTTTAAAGCTTTCACACACATTTTCTGGATGCATGACACAATGATATTTCATCAAACGTGAGCTGCTGGTGGCAACTGCATCATCTCCTATTAATCTTATAAATTCCTATTTTTTACCAACCATCACCAAGGCAATGTTGATAGCTATACTACATACATTAACAAGGGTTCAGGAAAATCACTCTAATATAATTTTTACTGCTTCATACAGATAAAGAGATTTAGTCGTGTCTTTTAACAGCATCAAAGAAACCATTTATTCAGTCATACTATATTCATCAACAATACCTCCAAAGAAAACAGCAAGTTCAGCCATATATGTAGTACCACTGCCTTCACCTATCACCCAAGTTCAGAATTCAAAATTGGCAGTTTTACTCGCCAAATTTTTATAGATGCTCCTATTTCTTCAATCCACTTGGCTACAGTCTGCTGAGTCAAACTAATTTTAGAAAAATCTTATTTCAGGGCACAATATATCTGCCATGCTTTCCAAACATTGCTCAATAAACTCACCACCAGTAAGGTTTTCATTGTTTTGCAGTCAGATTTGCTACCACCTAACAAGCTTTTATAACAGTCTTTTTAAAAGTTTTTAAACTTTTTTAACTTTTTAAAAAAGGTTTTGTTGAGATGGCAGACGTTTTCAGTTCCACTACCTCTTTACAAAGCACTCCTTGATATGCAATGAATTTGATAGCACGTTTTTGCAGATGTCTTTCCAAATTATAATCTTTGAAAACTGACAGTTTCCTTACAAATTAAGCATAGTGTCATACTATTTGTCAGGACAAAAAACTACTCATCTGTCCTTGTTTGTTGAACACTCTTCCTTCACTCAAAATTTTTCTTTTACTGTGTTTTGCTTTTTTTCTGAGATGCAATGAGGCAGGTTGAGATACGAGCATTGGAAATCACTGTTTTTTTCCCAACAAGCAGCACAATCACGTGCCATGTGTAACACAGGGCTTTATGCAGCTGACTGCAAGTGGTGGGAGGAAGAGACAGATTCAGCCCTCTGCCCTCTCCATGTCTTTATTCCAATCCCAACAGGGCTGACCATACTCAGTGGTTTGACTGTTTCCAAGAGATGGGTGGGCACTTGGGGCAGCCTGCCATGATGGAGCATGGTCTCTGCATTGTGAAGTGTGCCAGGCAACATGCAACCTGCAAGTTGGATATGCCTAGACTAGTCAAATAAAACTCAATATATTGTGTATGGAAAAGCAATTCAAAGAATAGCCTGTAAAAACTTCCAACAGCAGCACTGAATTGATCAGCAGCTGCAGGTCACTGGCAATCTGGTAATATACTACCTCAGTTGTTACATGCCTTTCTACAGTTATAAGATGTTCTTAAGCAGCTGCACGCAGCTAGGCTTTCAACCTATAGATTGCCATCTGTAGTTATGAGAGAATTATTTGCAAGGGTTATCTAGAGGGTAACTAAGAAAACCCATGGTCATTACAATTTATTTTACAGAGGTTTTTATTTTCTCTGGAAATCTTAGAGGAGATCTGAGGATCAAAACCACTTAACCGAAGAATACAGATGGAAGTTCAGGCTTCTGTAGATCTTCTCTTCATCTCATAAGCTTTAGGATTTATTGGGGAACAGTACCCACCAGTTCCTGGTCAGTGTTCTGTTGCAACAGCAAAAAGAAAATGAACAGTGCAGTGGAACATTTGGAAGTCAGGTTGTGATTTGGCAACTCCTTTTTAAAAATCTTTTTAGGTAGAAATGTCTGAAACTACTAAGAGTTCAATTTGAGATAAGTAGGCTCTCCAAACCCCTGCTCTGCAGCTTATTAAAAAGGCTGAGACAACGTAAGAGTATGTCTCTGAGATCAAACTGTTATTACCATCAGGTGCAAAGCAGGTAAATATAACATACTTTAGCTATAAAAAACGGAATACTAAGGATAATCATGACCTATCCAGACCTTTTCTTACTTTGGTGTATATTCCTCCCGTAACAATCTGCAATTGCAACATTTCACATTTCTGCCTCTAGCTGTGAGTAAAATAAAATATGCATGTTAGATACCAATATTTCAAGTTTGTGTAAACAATGAACAGAATCATAATACACAGAATCATAGACCTCTAAGATGATCCAGTTCAATCATCTACCTAACACCAGTATTTCCCACTAACCCACGTCCCTCAGTACTACATCCAAAAGCTTCTTGAAAATCTCCAGGAACAGTGATTCCACCACCTCCCCGGGCAGTTCATTGCAGCACACAACTACTCTTTCAAAGATTTTCTTAACGTACAATCTGCATCCCCCCTGGCACAACTTGAGACCATTCCATCTAGTCAATACAGAGCCAAAGAAGCTGGTCCCAGAGCAGACAGCCATCAAACAAATAAAATACCCCACTGACATTGAATAGTGCTTGTATTGCAAAGCAGCAATGCTAGTATCACTGGCAGAAAGCTAAAAATAATTTTGTTCTTATAAAACTTCAGTAATAAAGAGTTCACTAATAAATATTTTTAACGCAGATAACTTTGGATCCTGGCTTCCTTAGCTTTTCTATTCAATGTCTTAAAACATGTTCCTTCAAGCCCAGCAGATGGAGCACAAGGCCTCACCAGAGCCTAAGTACTTCCATATTTGTCTCCACTTTTCTCAAAAAGATTGCAAAGGAGCACAAGGTAGCAATGTTTCTATAGTTAAGACTAAATCTAGGCTGTCTTATTGTGATAGCCAACGAAGGAGACTTTGGGGCATTGTGCACTCTTTGTTTAAAGAAGACAGATTTCTAGTATTTTTCATTTTTAGTTCTTATATAGACTTCTGTTCTGCTTACACACATTAAATTTTTGCAAATGCACACACACTTCTCTGGCCTGAAAATCAATGACTGCTTGAGGTTGGAACTGCTTGAGGTCACTTGGTTCAATCTCTCTGCTCAAGCTGGGAGATCCAGAGCAGGCCCATGTTCAGGCTGCTGTTGAAGACTTCCAAGGAAGAGACTACAACCTCACTGGGCAATCTGTACCAATGCTCTGTTACCTGCATGCTGAAGAAGTGCTTCCTGATGTTCAAAGAGAACCTAATGTTCCTGTCTGTGGTCCTGGCACTAGGCACCACTGTAAAATACCCAGTTTCATCTTCTTTGCATTCTGCCTTCACACATTCATACATGCTAATAAGGTCCCAACTGAACCTTCTCTAAGAGAAGTTCCTTAAGCCCTCCTTATAGGTATGGAGTCCCTTCATCATCTTCATGACCCTTCACTGGCCAATCGTGAGCATACCCATGCCCCTCTTGTATGGCAAAGCCCAAAATTGCACACAGCACTCCAGGTACAGTCTCACCAATGCTGACAGAAGCAAAATGTTGCTCAGATAATTTTTCAGTAGTTTTCCAAAATGATCACAGTGGAAACACAGATAGAAATGGCTGTTGGTTTAAATACAGCACACTGCAATGTCCAAAGGAAATAAAAATACAGGTAAATATATTAAAATCATTATCTTATATAACAGTAACTGCTCTGGCAGATGGCAAGAGCACAGTCAATCCAGAAGTCGCAATGGTTTTCTAAAAATGAAACTGCATGCCAGGGTCCAAATAATTGCACTATAGCCTTCCACTCATATCTCTGCCTATCTCTTCTTCAGGGCAGGGAATCATAGCACTGCTACCAATGTGTCTCCTGGTGAAGAAACGACAACACAAAGCAACCACACTGTTACCAAAATACTAAGAGTTTTGATGCAATCTGTCATGTGACATGACTACTCTGCCTACATTTCCGGGGAGGACTTTAAAGAATTGTGTTAACTGTGTTTGTGGCTTTTCAAAGTGATTTTAGTTGAATGTGAAAAAGCAATTACGATTCTGTCAAAGCAGAATTTTCTGTGGCTGAAGACCTTCAGTAAAAAGCAACAAATGGCAAACAGAGCAGTGAGGAAAAAAACAAACAACAAAACAACTGCCAGAGTATATCTACAGAGTTGCTTACCATCTTCTTTATCTTCCTGTCCATATAAGAGCTTACTTAACTATTTGAGTATTGATTTATTGATTAGCTTGGTAAGAAGCTGCCCCATGCTGTGTCAGACTCCTTGATCTCCAAGTCACTGAAGGCTGTGCCTGCCTATCATTACGTTTACTTAGAAAAAACAACAAATAGACTGAACAAATACCGCTGATGAGAAAAATCTTAAATGAGAATACATTCATCACAGATACAAAGAATATAAGGCTATGAGCTTTGTGTGTACTCTGTAGAACTCCTCTATTTTTGTTTTCTTCTCTCCCAATTAAGAGTGTCTGTTCTCACGTGCACATCCAGAAACAAACTCTTGGCAAACTCACAGCCTGTATGCTGCTGATGGATGGCGGTAAATGATATTGTAGAAATATTCTGAAATACTCTGGCAGAGTACTGTCAAATGCCAGCATTTTTTACCAGTTTCTGAAAGTAAGCGTATCAGTAATCTTCATATAGCTATTTCATTTGATTGTAAATAATCTTACCAAAGGAAAATATTCTAGACATTACCGTAGTTGCTTGGAATTAGTCCAGTTCTCCCCTTGCAAGTTCCTTTCCACCAATTTGTATCACTCTGGAGAGAAAGGGGAGAAGAGTTTAAAAGGGATATACTGCATCTCAGAAACATTTGGACGTATGTGTATGGGATGTATCAGACTTACCATGTCTGAGATGTAAATGATATCACCTTCTTCAAAGTACAGTTCATCTGGCTTAAAGAAAAAAAAATAAAAAAGGTAAATAGAAATACAAATATCTGTACTTAGATAGAATGAGCACCTGTAAAAAGTAGAATATATTGAACATTTCTTTCAAAATATTAACACCTCTAATTCTGTAGAAACTGGATAACTGCCTAACAGTCTGCAGTTTGACTTAATACTGTAGTTTGACATGCCTGCAGCTAACTTTTCATATCTTTGATCTCCGTGAATGCTAAAGACAGACTGTAGCCTTTCCAACTGAGCCCTTTGCAACAAAAGCAGTGAAATATATCCCACGTTTGTTAACTTCTTCCCCTTTCTTGGCTCGTCCCAGATTATCAACACTTTCTCAGTTCTCAATTACCCTTGTTGCCTTTAGAAGAAAAGTCATATTTAAGAATGAGTATTCATCAACAGACTTCTTCACTGAAAAAGTAGTACAGCAAACCTGATAGTTCAACCTTGTCATAATTAAGTGTTATTATGGATAAGTTTAAAAATTAGTCTTCCCAGTCCCTAAAAAATATACTTACCGTTCTGGGCTCAAAAGTGTATAGGGCCCTGAATACTTTAACCTGTCCTGAAAAAAAAAAAAAAAAAAAATATGATTAACATTGTCTAAACACATTGCATTCATATACAGAACCCATATACAAGTAAACTCCTTAACTCTCAAAACTGCTTGCTGAATGAGCCTGTGGCATGCCCATGGCAATGGAGGTGATGATGTAAGCAGTCGAACAAGAAGTATAGGTTCTGAAGGAAATGTGTCAACTGATCAGACAAGTGTATGTTGCCTGTTCTGTATATCTTACACTGCCTTCATGGCTCACCATCTTAGTCATTGTAAGCCACTGATTTCTGATGCAAAGTGTTATTTCAGTCATATGCAACAATATAAGCTACACATATTTTTTCTTAATAGCATCTTAAATGCTTCAGAATTAAGGAAAAAAATAAAGAAACAAAAACAATGACTGATGTCTGCCATACATTCCCATACTCATTTGTAATTGTTATTAATCAGGAAAATAATGCAATGACACAGAAATCACTGAAGGATTTGAAGAAAAATGACAGTCAGCAAGTCCTATTTATATCAGGTACAGCAGATATGATATTCTGCTTAGATGCATGAAATAAACTATAGTGTTTACAATACCTCTAAGTAGGCAATGTTTATTTCAAATAGGGCAACAGCATAGAGGCCCAGAAAAAAGAAGAGACATAAATTTGATTTCATTAATTGCAAAAGATGCATCCCTATAAACATTTAAAATATTCAGCATAGGTCTATTTCAAGATTACAACGCAGAAGACGAACAGGAGAAGAAACATGTACACCACATAATTTTATTAACTAAACTTCTGAACTCTGTATAGAGTTTTATCTGCTTTGAAAAATCCGCAGTCTGAACTCTGTAGATTTCTTTCTGAGTATCACAATGATGCAAGTAAACCACACTGTAATTGAGGTTCTTAAGCTGTATTTTTACATGTTGTATGGGTTAACTTGTAATCAAAGCAGTTGTTATTTTTGAGTAATACCATCAGATTTCAGTTTGGCTTACTGGTGCACTTTCACACAGCAGCTATGTCTTAGAGATAAAGGGTTCAATACTTAATAGGCCTGTGCCCTGGAAACTAAATGCCTGCAGTATGGCAGCAGCTAAAAGCATGAAACCTTTTTTATTCATTACCTATATGAAAATGACCAAGAGAAAAAACAAACCAACCGGATAGTAATATGTCTGTAGTTATTCTCTAAGAGCTTTAGAATGAAGCATCCCTACTGTGGCTAGAATTCAATTAAAAACAAAAACAAATAACAACAACAACAAAAAGACAGGCAAGGAAGAAGAGATGACAAACCAGGATGTGTGGCATTAAGGGGTGGATGGTACATGATACTGTTCCTTCTCCTAGGCTTTCTTATGAAGGCGACACCACAATTTATGATAGAACTGCACACTAAATCCTTTGATGATTTCAACCATCATCCACCAGTTTTTAAGATTTTATTTAAGAAAAAGGAGAAACTGGAGACTAAAAGGGAAGATAAAAAACATTAAAAGGGGAAATGAGAAGATGGCAGAAGACAAGGAAAAGTAAGAAATTTAAATTTGTGTGTACAGTATACAATTCTGGTAATAACATACTGCATCTGTAACAGGTTTAGAAAACTAGAAAAGAAGAAATGAAATGCAGATAAAAGCACTGTTGAAACATTGTTTAAACTGAAGACAATTTGCTTTGTGTGTGTGCACTATAATTTACAACAGAAATAAGAGCTACTTCCCCAAATGTCAAGACGTAACATCACAGCACAGCATATTCTAAAACACTTCTCTCTGTATCCGTATCTGCAAAACTGCAGGTCTGGTTAACTTTAATTTCACAACACTCCATCTGGAAATTAAGCACTACTAACTTCTTGCACTTTCAAATTATCTTTTAAATATTTACTAATAAATAGATACTAAAGCCTGCTTACGGTGGTGAATTTAATAGCTAAGAACAATACGACTTACCACTTCACAGGAATTACTTTTAATGCAAAAAAAAACCCACAAAAAAAAAAAAGAAACCATCAGTCTGGAATATTTAAAACAGCAAAATATAAGGACTAAGAGGGAATATTAAATTAGTATCTCTCTTCTGGAAATAAATTGTCTTTTATTAGACCCTGTGACTAACTACATTCACTTGAATACAAGTACTTCCACTTAGTGATGCACACCCTCAGGCACATGGTCAAAATTACAGCTTTCACTAGCTGGTGTCCTTTGGAATTAATAAGCTCATAGTCAGGAAGTGCCTGAGGACTTACTGAGCTCCTCTTTTCACCATTCACCACTTCGTGAGATTCCTGTAGGACAGAGAACTAAGGTAAAAGCAGTGATCTGAACTTTGCAAAGGTAGCAGACAGTACCTCCCAACCATGTATTTGTAAGACAAAATAACTAAAGCAAGGGGAAATGCATATTTCTGATATTTCAGGATACTGGTCAAACAGTAATGACTTTACCTTCTAGATAGATAATGACTAACCCTTCAAAAATAAAAACAATCGAGGCATAGTGCAGCAATATGTCCCAGAACAAATATTTTCCCAATTGCAGGGACAAATCTGAATAATCCTTTTCAGTCCCATTCTTTCGCCACAAGTCTTAGTCCCTTCTCAAAGGATTTGCAATAAATATCTGCAGTACAATTATCTGACAAAAAGAAAAAGATATTACACATATTACGCTGACATATAACCAAGGCACAGGAACTCCCCATGCCACAATTTACCAAACCCTCACTCAGCAGTGCAGTGAGGTGAGTTGTCCTAAAACTGTCTGAATTCTTTAGGACAACTTTTCCAATAAAATACCTTAATAAGGTAACGAAACATGCAACTCAGATTTATCTTTATCTCTTGGGTAAAACTGATTTGTCAGCACAATGAATAGGAAATGAAATCCATGAAAATAAAGAAATGGGGTGACTAAATAGTAACAACAGTTAAAAAAAAAAAATGCAGCTTCTGATATATACTGATAGCTGTCAGGATTCACAATACAAAATTTAAAAAAAGTTTAAAAATTTGTTTCCTCCTATCAGTTTGATATTTTTAATTAATTGCAGCATAACTAAAGGTTGTTTTCAAAGCTGTGCTAGATGTCTCTGCAAAGAGGATTTAATTGCTCAATGATGGATTTTTCACCCCACATCCCTTCTGTTCTTTTACCTCAGCTTTCTATGCCATCATAAGATGCTGCCATTAAAATTCCCTCTTCTACAAAGCATGTCCCACTCTCTTCTTACTTGCTTTAGTCTGTGAAAGAAAGAAGGCTGATTCTTGCATAGCATTATTTATTTAGATGTTTGTATGCCAGTTCCAGGGTCAATGTCAGTTTCAGAGTGTCCTCTCGGAACACCATTCGTGCATTTTATTTTCTCTGAAGCAAGACAGGCACCTTCTTTTTGCTAACTGCATTGGCAAGAATTGCACTCAGCATTGGTTTGAGACCCTCCAAAAGAACTACATAATCTGGCAACAGCATTTGGAAGGCAAAAAGTTTTGTCAAGAAGTAGTATTGTGGTTAAACTACAGATCAGGATCTCTCATTATATGCTTGCATTTTGCATGAGTAAGGAAAGAAATGTCTTTATCACAATAGGCATATCTTCAAAAACATGCCATTTTCTTAGAACATTAAAGGCAGATGGAAACTTTTTCCTGACTTTTCAGGAACTGAAAAATAAAGTACTTTACACTCAGACCTTCAAGGTCTAAAGAGAGGGAATATGTTTTACAAGACTGCTGCTTTAAATTTGGAGTTTTGCTCACGGCACAGAGGCACAACAGAGTATGATAGAGCATTTAGGTATTGTTTTAACTGAGGCAGAAAAGTGGAGGTTCCACTGTTTGGAAAGCCACCTTCCACTTTTTAGCAGTACTTAGCAGTACTAAGAAAGGGGAAGTGCATATAGGCACGCAAATGGGAGAGCAGGAAGGGGGGTGTTTAGAGACACAGAAAAGAATCCAAAGAGCAGACCACTACCAGTGTAGATGACAAGCTAGGGCAGCCCTGTAACAGACACAGGCTGCACCTGACAGCGTATTTGTTCTTTCTGTTCCACAGCATTTGTAGAAAGAAAGTCAAAATTCAGGATTATTCTTGGAGAAGATGCCTGGGGGTGTATTCACTTTGCATTTGACACAAACAGTTTCACAAACGAATTCTGACTAGCACAGTATAATGCTGAAATCTACCTATTACTAGTTTAATTTTTGCCAATACAAAGAACACCTTCACTTGCAGGAGGCTTGTTGTGGCTTTCAATGGTAAATTGAATGATTAGGGTCAGAAATACAAATCTAGCATTCGCATTTGTGCTGTTTAATAGTTCTGTTGATGTCTCCCGCGTATGAACTCACAACTGCAGCATAACTCCCCAAACTCACGCACCCACTTCTCTTTAGCTAACAGAAACCCTTCTGTGACTGCAGAAGGAGACGACCCAGGGAGACAGACTGCTAAGACCTTATGGATGCCATTCAGTATAGATCTTCCGCTCCTGTGAATGGTAACTGCCACAGCTTCTGCTTTACCTCAGTAATGTGAAAGAAACTTGACTGTGGTTAAAACTAAGTATTTATATCCAGAATTCTATTTTTAACTTAGAAAACTGCGAAGGCTGCAAAGACAACAGACCTACTTTATGGTAGTGTCCCTTTATGTTACACACGCTGCGCTTCCTCCTTCCTCACTTCCTCTCAACTGGAATCATTTTAAACTGTAATTTCCTTCAAAAGACTTGTCTTTCTCTGTAAAACTTAAGTGTTGTGTAGACTTTAGCCTGAGATCAACAAACTTTATCTGGAGAACACAAAAGTAATAAAGGTTTTTATTTAAAAAGAAAAAATTAACATTTCCAGCTTCCTAAGAGCTCTTACTGCACGCTGTGTAAGGCCCTAGCCAAAAATGCATAACCACCATCATTCAAGGAGTCAACTAGCAGGAATCAACGCAGCTTGTCAGGTTCAAAAGACTTAAGTAACTTTGATAATTAGAATTAACATAAGACAGAATATTTAGGAGGTTAATGAACTTTAAAAAGAATAATATTGTTTGAGATATCAATAGAGCTTTTGAAGTATGGAGGGGGAAATCCTGCTCTTGCATAATACTGAACTAGAAGAAAGCTTCAATTATTTTCACTCTCACTTCACTCCTCTGTATCTCCAATGGCAAGTTTGAATACAAAAAAGAAAAGCTTTCAAACTAGTACAAAAAGCTCCAGCAGAAAAGCAAAGTGAGAAGCTAGTTTTAGAGGAAGTCTTGGAACACTAGAAATTAAAAATTTCCCAAAGCCATGAAAAACATTCACAGACTCTTACTCAAGGGCTAACCACAGGCCCCGAATACAGGCTCAAGAGCTGACAAACATTATTAGATGATTGTCTAAAATCTATCGATGTCAAAGACTTTTCCTTTGCAACTGAAACCCAACACACTGCCCATGCAGCCAAATTATTACAATGAAAGAGCCTTCCATCAAATAAAAATCTCGCATGTACTGAAGAAAACCCCACCATTGCTATAGTTAATATTTTTCCCTTAGAACATTCTGTTTTGCACATTTTCAAAGCACTGTCTGTGCATTCATATGTAATCTGCTCTGCGAGGAACGCACTCACAGTTTCAGAAATGAATATAACACTAAACACAGTTCCTTGCCACCAGCTCTATCTCCTTCCATCTCCACATAGTTACGTGTTTTCTTCCTGAACATTTCTTAAATGACTACAGCAGCCAGAGTCTTATTCTTTCTTCTATCTGCTTGAATTGTGACCATCAAGTCTCATTTTTTCTTCTATCTGCTTGAATTTGTGGCACAGCAAGTAGATTGCTGCTTTGTGACAAAGCCAGGATGGTTTACAGACTGGATACCAGATAACAGCCAGTGAAGAAAAAATAACACAGCTTGAGCAAAAGAACCAAGAAGACATCTCCCCACCTGCAGCCTAGAAGTTGGTAACAAATAGAGCATTATGCTACTCTAGTTTCAGCACACGCAGAATCCATGTTTATGTCTTTAAGTCAGTACACTTTAATGTCTACAGCCTCCATGAAATTCAGTGACACTGTTAAACACGTAACTGATATTACAAAGGCAGATGGACAAAGTATTTTGGAGGAAGCCAGAAGACAGCCTCTTCCAGAAAACGCCTTAGAAACAAAATAAAAAAAATTCTGCAATAGCATCTGTAAAGACCTTCCTTCCTCAAAAGGGAGGGACTCCGTAAAATGACTTTTGTGATCCCTGAGAGCAACTACCAAGAAAGACCAAGAAAGTCTTATTCTCTTCCTCTTTCTTCTTCAGCCATTTATTCCCATCCATTTCCTTTTGCTGCGTCAAGTGATCATGTGGTAAACCAGATCGGCAAGTTCATTAGAACACGAAAAATAACCTGAACATGAGCAGAACCCTGCAGTGCCAGAGCACCAGCCCAGCCTGCTGTGCCACCGAACTGAAGGACAAAGTGACAGTGAGGGCGCAGAGAGCCTGCCTGTCTGCCAGCGGCCTGAGCCCTACCAAAGCTGCACCGCCAAGCTGGGGATGCCCAGCATTAGACACAGAAAGAGTCTGACCGATAACTCCGCAAGCCTGAACAGCATAGATCCTAGAATTCCGTAAGACTCTTACGCTAAGCCTAACCAACCATTTTGCAAATCGGAGACTGAGTAACCACTTGACTGGAAAAAAAATTCTTCTTCCTGCGTATCTGGCTGCTAAAAGCAGCACCACACCCTTCTCATCTCCCGGAAGCCCATACAGCTCTTCACGCACCTCCCGGCGGCAACCGCGGTGCCGGGGCTCTTATCGCTACCTTTTTCCTATTTCAGGTCAATTCCGAAAGATGCTCAGCGGGTGAAAGACCGGAGCAAACTGTTACATGGAAGAAGTTCTGAGGCTTTAGCAGAACAGCAGAAGGTGGGGGTTGACGGAGTGCTCCTAAACCCGGTCAGCAGTGTGGTTTTTTTTTACAAAACCCTGCGATTCGCCATGAGTTTTGAGAAGCGAAGCTCCGCGCGGTGTGCCCGAGGACAGACCCGCAGCGCTCGGGCGGCGCCGAGGTTAATGGCGGCGGGGCGGGGAGAGGCGGAGGCCGCCGGTTCTGACAGCCCGAGCCCAGCTCCCCCGCTGTCCACGTGTCAGCCGGCACCGGGCCGTCCCAAACCCACGGCGGCCCCGCGCTGACAGCGAGAAAACAAGGAAGAGGGGGTGGCGGGCCTAGCCGTGGGGACCCTCCCTTACCTGGCTTGGCGGGTTTGGGCGGTGGCTTGGACATGGCTGCGGCGGGACCTGACGGGCTGCGCAGGTGCCTCGGGGCGGTGGGGATGAGCGGGGCGAACTGCTCCGGGCTGCTGGGCACGATGCGCGGCGACTGCTGCGGGGAGGAAGGGAGGGGGCGGGCGCCGGTACCCTGCGCAGCGCCCCGCAGCGGCAGCGGCGAGAACCACACCGACCAGAAACACCCCGCAACCAATCCCCGCTTCGCTCTCTTTTCCCTGGTGGGAAGAACACGGGGAAGGGGGGGGGGGCAGCCAATCGGAGAGCGCGGCCTGAGGAGCGCCCAATCGGACCGCGCGGTGTCGGAGGGGGCGGGGCTCGCGCCGTGTGGTGGCTGACTGCTGGGCCGCCGGAGCGCGGCAGGGGGGTGGGCTTTGGTTGGGTGCGTGGGTTTGAGCTGCGCTGAGCGTCCCGCGGGTCAGCGCCTCCGTTGTCGGAGCTCTTGGGGCGGGGTGGCTCGTTTGTATGCCGTCGTTGCACATTTAATGCTCAGCCCGAGGCAGCTCTGTGAGGGAGTGCAGTGGAACTTCACTCGGCCCTTTAAAGAGGCCGAGTAATTTCGGAGCTGTGTGCTGCAACGCTCGAGGCCAGTTTGCCTTTGCCATTTGGGTTGTACGTTGTTCTGAGGGAGGCAGAGTTGGTGTTTGTTTGTTTGTTTGTTTGTCGTCATGGTGGTTGTTTTTTTTTCCAGAAAATTGGGATTAAGTTTGGTATAGCCGGTGACATAAGTTGAGTCCAAAGCTCAGCACGTGTGCCCAGGTGCTATTTGGGTTGTACCACAGCATTTCTGTGGGACAAAGGCTAATCCCCCAGAACACAGTTTAGTTTGAAAATAGCATTGGGGTTCATGTTTCATCATATCCTGAGAACAGCTAATGTGTCTTAATTCTTCACACTGACAGCCAATGCCATAAACACACAGTGAATCATGGAATTCAGGAGTTACTGGAGTTTTTAAACATCTTTCTTCCCTCAGCATGTCACTGTCTTCTGTTGTTTGGTGGTTTTTTTTTTTAATTGGCTTTTTTTGTTTGTTTGTCTTTCCACCTCAGCACCTGTTTACATTTGGATACTGTTAATGATTGAGCTAGGATTGTGTTTTTTTCCAGGTACTTCTGTGCTAATCAGTAGTGGTAGAACTGAATCTCTCAGAGTTTTCCTCAAGTCATTAAATACTGTCTAAGGTAAAATGCATAGATATCTGTGACACAGCATTTGTGTTGGAGGGCTTTATAAGCAAAAAGCAGTTGAGGTTCTGACAGTAAGTTTGTGGGGAAGAAAAAAGACAGAAAACAAGTCTTATCTATAACTGGAATTTCTTAATAACTGCTGTTATTTTTGCTGAATTGAGAGTTATCACTGACTCTGTTTCTAACAGTGGAAAGAAAGAACTGAAGAGAAAACAAGCAATGAAAATACTGGTGATTGCCCTTGGAGGGTAAGTATTAGAAAATTAAATTTACTCAACAGCTCAAGACTGGTCTATCTTTCAGAATGAACTGTGGTGTAACTTATACTTCTGAATGGATCATTTTTGAAAATAGCATGTTATGGCCTTTTTTTTTTTTTCTAATGTGTAACTGCTAAGAAATTATTCCTGCCTCTATTGGAGATCTCAGATACCACTTCTAATTTTTTTTTCTTGTCACTGTTATATTTACTCTCTAAAATCTGTTAGAACTTGCCAGAAAATTTCAAGAGTGTATTTAATGTTAATAAACCTCTTGGAGGTGGGGAGAGAGAGGTGTCTCTGTGGTTTACGCTATTTGTATAGAGGTGCATGTGCATAGGTGTGTATATGTCTAAAAGTGAGACTGATGCAGTGTCTGTGTTTTCTAACTCAGAGTTACAAATGGAGGAAAAACAACTTTGGCAGAAAAGCTTAAGAAACTGCTTCCAAACTGTGACACAATCTCTCAGGATGACTTCTTTAAGGTAATGCTATTGATGAACAAACCTGATATGTAGAAGTGAACTTGAGTAGATGTTAGTATAATTTCTGCTTTTTAAAGTTCTCTGTTATTGGACTGTTAAAATTGATGCTTCTTAAAGTAATGTTAACTTTGTCAGCACTGAGGTAATTGAACGTTCAGTGGCCAAAGTTGCTGAGTATGCTCATCAAAAGAAATTGACTGTATTTTTTACACTTTCAAAGTAAGGAATGTGTATATGCTGGATACATTTTTGAAGGTACTGTGCACTAACAGAGTTAATGGTATTGCTTTGTTAACCCCAGTGCTATGCAGCAATACGTAGTTCTTCATTTCCTAAACCAAAAAGGGAAAGAAAAATCAAAACTTTTGCATGAATATCAAAGCTCTGTGCTAAAGAGGTTAAACATATTCTTATTTCTGAAAGGTGAAGTTCTAGTGAACTTACAAGCAATTATTTGGAGGATTTGTTGTTACAAGTGAAATGAAGGGTTTGTATATTTTAATAGCATTATGCAGCATTTAAATTTTGAAGACAAATTTATCAGTTAAGATACAAATGTGTATACCCTCATGTTTGTAAGTGAAGAAAACAGACCTGTGTAAGTGCTTATAAAAGCACAATTGACAATTACGTTTTTTCTCTTTAGCCAGAGTCTGAAGTAGAAACAGACGAGCGTGGATTTAAGCTGTATGATGGTCAGTAACTTTGACTTGTTGTTATGTTGGTTGTGTTGTGCTGAGCTAAATCCTATCTCTTCTAAGCAAGCAACTCCCCTGTTCCGTGTCTAGTCTGAGCAAGGTTGTAAACAAACAATGCTGAGCAATCCTTACTTCAGTTTCTCTCACCTCACTGAGATAAAAATAGAAAACTTGTTGAATTAATAACCTACTGAAGCTGGTGCTTGTCTTCCCTCGTTTTAATCTTCTAGAGTTGCATTTGGTCCAGTAGCAAATAGTTCAGCTCAGCTGAAAGTTTCTTGCCTTGCAGCACTCGCATAAACTAGTTACTTTCTATGTATTGATGGATTTTTTTTTTTTTTTCACATTAATAACTAACTGATTGGATTTCTTAACAATCAGGTCTCTTTCCTTATTATGTTCCAAATTGGATAAGGTTGGGTCTGGTCCAGACACCTTCATCTCATGTCAGGTCTTGCACAGAGACCAGAATGGTTCCAAATTCAGACTTATGCTGGCTCAGCATGCCAGTTTAGTTGTGTGAACTTCTAGACCTGGATCTACTTTCTGCCAGTGCTCTGTTTCAGGTCATGACTAGTTACAAACAGTTGATTATCAGTTAATATCTTCTGATACATGGTGATCGCAAAATGTATTACTCTGAACATTGTCCTGAACCTTGAATTTTAGCTGAAATCTGACTTTCATCAGTTAATGCAGTCTGCGGTTTACTTTCTACACTAAATGAAAGTAGAATGTGAAACTCGATGAGAAAGTTCATCTTTCTGGTCTTAATACTGCTCTTAGGTATTACTTCAAAGTTTGTGTCCAGAATCTGCCTTCTGGCTATAGTTCAGTAATTTATGTGACATCTAACTCTGGACAAAACCATGTGCTATGTTGTAATATTTTACCTCTTATGTCATCCTATCAGTGGAAGCCATCCCTCCCCACCATCCAAATATCTAAAACTTAAAACAAAAAAACAAAGGATTTTTGAACCCCATTCCTTGCTTTGTTTAAGTGATAGTTGACAGAAGGGTAGAAGTCTGGGCTAAGTATTTATAGGTTCTATGGAACAGGATAGCAGTTCGTGCATTTTCTTCCAAAGGGAAAAGGGCTGTGAAGTGAATTCACACACTTCTTATTGACAGAGGGTTCTGAAAGTCCATACCCACCAAATATATCCCAAACATGGGGAAGGATTTGTTTCAAGGTATCATCAGTTGCAAACATGAAACTACTTACACCTAGGAGATCTGTAGGGCTAATAGCATTCCCTTTCATTTAAGCTTATATGTAGAATATTTCTTTCTTACTGATTCATCTAGTACTTGATGCCCTCAATATGGATGAAATGGTGAAAAGTATTCACAATTGGATGAAAAGCCATACAAGCTCAGGCGTTGTGACTGAAAAACCGATGGACACATCTAACAGTCTAAAGATGACAGAAGATGTTTATATTTTGATTGTTGAAGGCTTTCTGCTGTATAATTATGAGTAAGTAGTAATGCGTAAATTGGTATATTAAAAGCTGCCCTAAAAAGAGGGTACTAAACATAAGCATCCTGGCTTGTATCAGAAATAGTTTTACCAGCAGGAGCAGGGAAGTGATCATCCCTCTGTACTCAACACTGATGAGGCTGTACCTTGTGTACTGTGTTCAGTTTTGGGCCCTTCACTACAAGAAAAATGTTGGGGCTCTTGTGCGTTTTCAGAGAAGGGTAAAGAAACTGGTGAGGGGTCTGGAGCATAGCCCTTATGAGGAGTGGCTGGGGGAGCTGGGATTCTTTAGTCTGGAGAGAGGAGGCTCAGGGAAATCCTTATGGCTCTCTACAACTATGTGAAAGGAGGTTGTGTCAAGGTGGGGATCAGCCTCTTCTCCCATGTAACTACAGTGATAGGATGAGAGGAAATGGCCTCGAGTTGTGCCAAGGGTGATTCAGGTTGGATGTTAGGAAGAGCTTCTCTGAGAGAGAGGGAATGGGCTGCCCAGGGAGGTGGTGGAGTCGCTGTCCATGGAGGTGTTTAAGAAATATTTAAATGTGGTACCGAGGGACATGGTTTACAGGCAAATATTGGTGATAGGTGGACGGTTGGACTGGATGATCTTAGAGGTCTTTTCCAACCTTGGTGATTCTATGATTCTGTGATTCTATATTACTGTCTTAGGCCACTTAATGAACTCTGGAATAGAAGATATTTTTTGACCCTTCCTTATGAAGAGTGTAAAAGGAGAAGGAGGTAAGATTATCTGGTTGTTGTTCACAGATGGTGACTGTATCGCCTAACCTGAACTGTGCTTTTTTTTGGTACCAGCTTTTCTTTAGCACTTGACAGAGATAAGCTGCTAAGATCACTTGTTATCCGTTATTCCCAGGCAACACTCTGTGGGTACTTAGCAGACATTAACAAAAACATGCAGAGTAGTGGTGGGAGTTTTTTTTGTTGTTTTGTTTTTATGTAAATATTAAAATGTTAAATGTTTTACAAGCACTAAAACACGATTTGTTGTCCAGAAAAACTATTTAGATTACCAACTAAATGCTAGAGTTAAACTAATGTTGAATTAGAAAAAAAAACATGCAGCTATACATGATGATTAATGGTATAGTACCAATCTTTATGCATGGTTCGTTGTGGTGTTTTTTTTTTTGTTTTTTGTTTTTTTTTCCTAAAGGAAATGTGCTTCATTTAGACTGTATGTTAGTTACATTGCAAATTTGATTTGGAATATTAAGCCAGTGACTGACTTGGCTCCAGATTTGAAACACTATTGTGTGCTTGGAGCAAGACATTTGCACAAAATCAAAATCTGGCATCTGAGTCAAGCAGTTCTCCACTCAGTTGTCTTTAGTTGACTATATTTTCTTGGTTCTTGACTAGACGTGCCCCTCAGGAGTTTAGTATCTGAATTTCTAGTGAATTAAAACTCGAGAAATCCTTGCCAATAAAAAGAAGAATAAGGTAATTTCTTTGGGTACAACTCTCAATACAGCTTAATTTATATGTAATTTATTTTTCAGTTAAGCTCCTTTTACCTTATCTTTAATTTAATTTGATTGGCAGAAATAAATTAGCAAAAACTCATATCACAGATTATATTATAACAAAGTAGCTTCCTTTGTTCCAGTAGATATGCAGCATTCTTGCTTCTGTATTTTTTAAACATAAAACTTGCATGGGAAAGCACATATGTTTCTGTGTAGCACCAGAGTCTATCAGCCAGCAGATACACCTGGGTACTTCGATGGACATGTGTGGCCTATGTACCTGAAATATAAAAATGAAATGGAAGAAAGTGCAACTAACATTGGTATGATACCTTTAATTTTAAAAATATAAAATGATTAAATGTGTCACATTTCTGGATTTTGTTTGGTTGCCATTCTTTGTAGGGGACAAAACTTTCTTCAAATATTATTGCGACAATGCACAACAGGTCAACAGGTTTTGACCTTTCTGTTGTTGTGTTGGTTTTGTTTGTTTTGTTATTGTTTTTTTTTTTTAAGGCTTCAAGGTCGTGTCTTGTTATTTTTCTAAATAATTATGAGTTTAAAAAATATAAACTTTTGATCACTATGTCCATTAACAAGCTAGTTTGCATGTGCATGCCTGCATACATGTCTGACACTAACCAGGAAACTTCTAAGACAGAATCTGATGCATGAAAATCCTGTATGAAGTCCTATTAAAAGCTATGGGACATTGCACAAGTGCTTTTTGGTACATGCTACATACGGTCACTAGTCTTGTCAAAATAGTGTCAAATGTTGTGGTGCTGTGCGTTTGTACGATGTTTGCACTCACACAGCTCTTGGGGCTGCCTAATTCTGGACAGAGAAAAGAGGTCAGCTGTTTCATCAGCATGCAGGGCACTGCTGCTTACTGTGCAGTGAGAATGAGAACTGCAGTGTCTTTCCTTAGTTTGCTCAAACCCTAAAGCTGAAGAAGAACCTGTAACTTCCTCCTGCATAGGAACCTTTGCGTAGGAACCCTTCTGTTGAATTATTCCAGTCCTACTGTCCTAATGTTATTACTGTAACTCTTTTGCAGAATTTTTTATTATAAATATTTGTAAACTAATTATTAACTGGAATACTTGTACACTAGTACTTTCTAACATTCAAACTGAATTTGGGAAAGGAGCAGAGGGTTGCAGTGTTCTTGCTTTCTATTTTTTCCTGAAAATACTGAAATATCTGCTAATTGTTACCACAGATTACATATAACTGGCACAGAACTAATGATTTTTTTTTCTTCTCAGTTTATTTAGATGGAACTAAATCCCAAGAGGAGCTTTTATCCTGTGTGTATAATGATATAATACAGGAATTAAAAAAGCTGAGAGAAGGAAGTAAGTTATTTTATTGGAAATTGAATTTGCTTATAGAATTCCAAGTTAATAGAAGCTTACTACTCTGTATGTAAATGCTGCAAGGATTAGATAGATCTGTTGTCTCCCTGTATAGGCGTATTATAGACCTTATGTGTATTTGCCTTATACATATGTGCTTTATATTTTATTACGACAGAGTAAAAATGTATATCTTTAAGTTCACTGAAATTAGATTTTGTTAAATAATAGGTGAATTCACTGCTATCTACAAATAAATCTAAAAAAAGAAAAGTAAGATGAGTCAAAACATAAATGAAAGATGTGTCTTGGTGATGGTAGTTTCAAATATATGGTGATGTCACATGCAAACACAGAAATGAGACAAATGTGTACTTTTTATTTCAGATCAGCAGGTCACAGCATGATAAAGCAGAATGCCTCAGTTTGGTCTGATACAAACTGAAAGCCCCAGGACTGTGGAACTTGGCAAGACACCAACTGGACAGATGCCTATGTTAATGTCCATAGTTCATACAACCACAAGTGAATGTGTAGCTAACGTGTTAGCTCTATAACCCTCAGAGGTTGAGTGCCAACAATAATGCATTGTTTAGAATTCCTTCCATCAGTTGTGCTTTGACCTTTCTATGTGATTGAACGTGTATATTCAAAAGAATATGTATTTTTTTGTACACAGTACTAAACTGTAAAGATGCAGTTCTGCTGGATCAATAAGTTTATTTGAAAACTGACCAATGCAATTTGAAATGTTCATAAAGTACTTGGGAATTGATAAAAAGCTATTAAATATGTTATAGATAATCACTGGTGAGTATGGTTAGAGGAGCTAGCTGTAAGCTGTGTCAGTAGTAATTTTAAGATTCAGTGAGCAGTCTAACAGCTTATACAGTAGTATTTATCAAGTAATCTACATATTTGGACCAGTTCAGAAAGGGTATTTCAAAAAGAAAGATTGTTGGGAAAACGTGAAGGAATAAGATGCCAGAATGCAGATGCGTCACCAAAAATATTTAGTGCATATGTCATGAAAAGATAAGGGATTAGAATGGGGTGAAGTGCAAGTCAATAAAAGCGTGCTTCAGGGAAGAGGATGTAAGAAATATTCCTTGTTAATCTGCAGAACTCAGGATGAAATTTCACTTATGAAATTATCTGAAAAGCGGGTATACTAAATGCATGTTAAAACTGTATTACAGGATTTGTGTGTATATGCTTACATGAACTGGGAAACTAGGAGATTTAATAATCTTCGGTTGCAGGATGAATAAACCTTTATTTTCTGTATGATCTGTTGCAATTTTATCAGCCGAAATGAAAATCTATCTGCAGACATGAAAAGCAAAGCGTGGACTGCGTTACTTACAGTTGGGCTAAATTGATCGTGGCGATTGAAAGGTATTACTTAACTGTTAGCAGCGTTAAACCGCCTTAAAAGCCCTGAATAAGCGAGGCCTTAACGTGAGCGACGTAAAGCGGACGAGGCCTGAAGGAGCCCCTCGGTCCGGTGGGGCAGGAGGGCGGGGGCAGCCCGCACGGACGCGACAGGAGAGCGCGGGCACCCGGCAGCGCTGCCGGCTGCTTCCGAGGGCGGAAGCGAGGTGCCGCGAGGAGACACGCCGCTGCGTGCGCCCGCCCCGCCCCGCCCGGCGGAACGCGTCTTTGGCGAGGCCTGCGCGCGGCTGCGCCCGCCCCTCCCCGGAAGCGGCCGACCGGGCGTGCGCGACCGTTGGCGGCGGCTGCCGGCCGGGGCATGTCGGCCGCGTGCGCGGTGTCCCGTGAGGCGCAGCCAGCGCTGCCGCCGCCGCCGCCCCGCGGCGACAGAGATCCGCCGGCCAAGGCCATGCGCAGGGGGCTGCGGCGGGGCCGCGAGGAGGAGCGGGACCAGGAGCGGCTCCCGTGGCCGGCGGAAAGCGGCGGGGGCGGCGATCCGGAGGGGGAGCGGGAGGCCTGGCGGAGCGGCGAGCGGCGGCGGCGGCAGCCGCAGGAGTCGAGGGCGCTGGCGGCGGCGGCCAGGGTGGAGGAGGAGGCGGAGGAGGAGCGGATGGAGAGGGAGCATTTCCGGAGGATCATCAACGCCTTCCGATACTACGGGTAACCGCGACCGCCGCCTCACGCCGGAGGCAGCCGTCCGCGCGTGCGGCGCCGCCCGCCGCCGGAGCCCCTGGCTCCGTGTGACGGCGCCGTGATGCGGGGCGCCCGCCGGGCTCTGCGCTCGGCCGCCGCCGCGGGGGCGCTGCTTGGCGGGTAGACGCGCGCCGCCCTGTCGGGGTCGGCGGAAATCTGTGCGGCGGTGGTAAAGGGCGCTTTGCTGAGGTGGAAAGAAAGCTGCTGAGCCTGGTGGAGTATCGGAAACGGCACCGGCACCTGCCGGCCGGGCAGGGAGAAGGCTGCTTTGGTTACCGCGTTCGGATGAGCTGATGAGAGGCCTGGCGGGAGCCGTTTGTGGTAGTTTGGGGTCTGAGGGAGTTTGATGAGGCCAAAAACGGCGCGGTGCCTCTTTAGGAAAGAGGTAAATAAAGGGGGAAGAAAGGAATTGAATTAATCGATTGAAAGGGCAGAAAGTCCAGTGTCGAAGGGGGGCTGGCTGAAAATGCCCAGCCTACGGTATTTCAGTAAGCCGTCTGCTGTTAATTACTGTAGGTTTGGGAAGTGCATTTAGGATGTACTTAATACCACCAATTTTATTGTCCTGCTCACCCATTATTGTGCACAGAGCCTTTTCTGTCAGCATAAAACAAGCATACCCAGTGACTGGATGTGATTCTTCCTGTTAAATGGGTGACGCCTAAGCTTCTCCTTCTGTTTCTTGTTTTACTGTCTTGGATATTTTTGTTGTATTTTATTAGAAGTACTGTTTGAGCAGGCGGTTGTACTGCATGACCCTCAGATGCTTCTTTCAAACAGAATTCTGTAAATCACTTTGGCCGCTTTGGTCAAAGAATGCCTGTTGATGTAACAAATAACTGTCGTATCGGTGATTTGGTAGTATTTTCTGGCCTTAGAAAGTAGAAACATCCCTGTCAACTTCATGCTCAGTTGTGTTTCTGTTTTTGAATCCTTCAATTTCAGTAAACGGGTAATAAGTGGACGTGACTTAAGTTTCTAATATAGAAATTGAAGTAAATTACTTCGGCTTCAGAGTAATGAAGTTTAAGTGGATTTAACACCTGTATGAACATGGCAGCAATACATTTTCAGATCATTGCAGATTTAAGGTTGGAGACAGACACAACTTCATATTTTTCTAATTTTGATTTCACTGAATCTTCATTTTTCGAAAAGGTTGCAATTCAGTATCAAAAGGGTATAGCATTATGATTCAAAGAACTTTACTGGCAGAACTTTGAAAACGTTGATACTGAGCTAAGCAGTGATATCTATAGAGTAGGCATGTCCAACCCATGGACCACATGCAGCCATGGACGGATAGCAATGGAGTCTCAAAGGATGATACATTTTTGACATTACTGTGTGATTTTTAGTGATACTCCTGAGTCAATTGCACATAACGTGAGCACAGATTCCATAGGTGGCAGTGGAACACTGTAGAGGGGAGAGCAGTGCAATGCTAACATCTCACAAGCCCACCACCTGCCATCACTATTTTTTTTTGTATATTTATTAGTCTATTTTCAATTGACGTAAAACCTGAGAATTTTCGAATGGATTGTATGGAATTACAATCGGACTTTCAACTCAAGTAAAAATGTGATTGTGTCTCTCTACTACACTTTTATAAGCCCTCTTTTACCAGAGAAAGATATCCACCGCTTCACAATCATGCCTTATATTATTGCTTGTGTGGTGGTACCTGCATTTGTGAACAATTATTTTCAAGGATGAAGCACGGGAAGAATAAAATTTCATCAGAAATCTCTGATGAGCATCTTGACAGCTCACTGAGCATTGCAGCTACCTCCATCTGTCTTAATTTCAGCTGGGATGGAATTGCCTTCTTCAGAATGCCTGGTATGAAGCTGTCTTTTGATTCTAGGAGAAAAACAATGTTGGTAACACACAGGTGTTGATGGCTGTCTGCTAAGCACTGTTGTAAAGTGCTAAGGCCATTCTCACGAGGGAATAGAATTAGGACACGGTTGACTCAAGCTGGCCAAAGGACATTCTGTGCCATATGACATCAAGTGGAAGGAGTTTTGAAAGAGGGTGGGAGTACACCTGGCTCTCTTCTGCTGCTTGGGGGCACTATCTGGGCATCAGTTGGGAGGTGGTGAGTAATTACTTGTCTGACATTAGTTCTGTAACATTTGTCTGTGTGTATGTGTGTGTATGTGTGTGTATAAATATATATATATATAAAATCATAACTATTTTCCTTTTCTCTATGTTAGTAAACAGTTTTATCTCAACCCACAAGTTCTACTTTGTTTTTTTTTTCTCTCCCCTATTCCATTGGGAAATGAACAACTGTGTGTTAGCTGCCTGCCAGGTTGAATCACAACACTATCAAGCCAGACTAGTTTTTAGTTTCCCAGAAACAAGGTCAAATATCTCACTAGTTTTAGTCTTTGTTGCTCTTTTTTTTTTTTTTTTTTTTTTTGTGTGTGTGTGTGAATAAAAATTGTTACTTATGCATTAACTTTACAATATTTTGTGTATGTAGCCCAAAACAATTCCCTTTCACTCAGCATGTTCCAAGCAAGCCAAAAGTTTGGAATCCCCATCCTACAGAGGATCAGGGTTTTTGTTTGTTTTTTTTTTTGTACCATTCTTTAATGCTTCATTCTTCTTAAATATCAGATAAACTCATATATTACAATGAACATGCCTCTTTTGATAGTATGGATAGTAACACTGGAGATTTTAACAGGTCAGGTTTCCAGACTGTTGCTGCAACTAAAATTACAGCAGCTGTACCAGTTGTGGACAGCTGAAGCTGGCACAGCTACTTGCTCGCTCCCCATGGTGCAATGAGGAAGATGGTGGAAAAGGTGAAAGTGTGAAAACTCATGGGACGAAGTTTAACAAGTAAAGCAGAAAGCACACAAGCATACGGAGCTAAACAAATAATTCATTTGTGACTTCTCGTGACTAGGCAGATACACAGCCATTTCCAGAAAAGCAACTATTGATCACAAATAATAGTTGCTGGTGAAGGCAAACACTGTAACTGTGCGTATGTCCCCTATCTCTTCCTTTCATCAGCTTTTACTGCTGAGCACAATGTCATCCAGTACAACATAGCCTTCTGGACAGTTTGGGTCAGCTGCCCTGACTGCGTGCCCTCAGCCTGGGTGTCTGGGCAGCATGAGAATGAAAGCCTTGATAGTGCAAGTAGAAACTTCTAGTCAGAAATAAACCACTGTCTAAGTTACTGCAGGGGAGATGAATTCTACCCCATTTAAAAGCAGCACAGCACCTTACAAGTTTTCAGCTCTACTACAGTTTGAGAAACTGCAGTATGGCTTCATGTGAGAAAATGATTTGCTTCTACCCAAAGGGGCAATATCCCTTGCCTTGGCATCATAACCTTTACCTTCTGTAGTTGCTATGACTGTGCTCAGTTGGCTTAACTTGCTAAATGGACAAAACAAATAGAACTGTCTTAAAGGGCTCAGTCAGTTAGCTAGTCAAGTCAGTGTTCTGGCAGGCTTTGTCAAAAGGTGATGAAATTGTTCATGTAAGGAAAAGGAAGAGAAAGAACTTAAAAACAAACAAAGAAACAAAAAAAACCTTTGTCTCTTGGCCAGCAGATAACCTTTCTTGTGGAACTGTTATTTTTGGTAAAGGGAGGAGATATGGTTAGATTGGTCAATTACATTATCAAATGTGCAGTATTCATACTTGATTAAATATGCTGTTGAAATGAAGTAGTTTAGTATCTCAGTTGGAATGCCTGAACTCCATTGTTTTGTAGCCACCTTTGCGTTATGTTCCTTCAGAAGCAATTGATTTTAAGGCTCTCTGTTCTTACTCCATATCCTTTTTGTGCAAAAGTTACTACAGCATTTGGTTGCTTCATTCAATGTGAATTGGCTTTGGGAAGTAATCTGGCTATTTTTGATGAGTTCATATGCTGATTGTTTATTCAGTTTTGTGGAAGAGATAAATAACTAACATTTTTACCTAAAAGTTTCTTTTTTTTTTCCTCTGGTAAGCGTTTACAATGTCTGAAGAGTCTTTTTTATTTTAAAGACATTAATAATTCTGAGTGGTGTAGCCTAGAGGGAATTGCTTGTATTTAGTGCAGTTGTTGCTGCTAAGTATCTAAAGATGTTAAACTTCTTCCTTTCTAGAACGAACATGCATGAACGTGTGAACAGAAC